GTTGTTGCGTTCAGAACAGATGACTTATCAGGGTCGTGCCGACGCCGTAAATGATCTCATGCAAAAAGCTCGTGAGATTAAGACACTAGGATCACCCACTTCTGATGCGATTCTAGGAGCAGCTGAACAGGTTGTTGCACGATACTCATCTCTAAATGAGCCTGTTCAGATTAGAAGGTATCTTTCTCTTAGCTTTTCTTTATTTGCCGGCTAATTTAAATCCGATTGCAGGGAAAATCTTCGCGATGCACATGCTTTGTATCAATGGATTGCTTGTGCTGAAGAAGAATTGGAGTGGCTTGCCGATAAAATGCCTTTGGCGAAGAGCCAAGAATACGGTGATAGTCTTCATGCTGCACATAGCTTGCAAAAGAAACACACAGCTCTTGAGAAGGAGTTAGAGTCACGCCAAGTGAGTCTATGAATAACTCATGTTTGTATTCCATGTGTTTGATTCTTATTTAGGCCGGAATTCAAGAAATTGAGTCGAAAGGAATGGCTATGATTCGCGCCAAGCATTTTGCAGCACCTCAGATCGAGAAGACTATTGATACGTTATCATCTGCAATGTTGTCGATTAAGGATGCAGCTTCTCTTCGACGTGCACGTCTTCAGCAAGCTGTCAACACTCACCAATACTATACCGAGGCAGCAGAGGCTGAACAATGGATAAGAGACCAGATGCCTGTTGCCACAAATCAGGAAACTGGCCGTGATCAAGCTGCTGCTGAGGGATACCTGCGAAGATTAGCAGTCCTTGAAAAAGAGGTTGCAAAGTTCAAAGATGAAATAGAACGACTTCGTGCACGATGTGATTCATTGCAAGAACATCAAAATGCGAATCAGATTGCTGCCCGTCAAGCTAAACTGGAAACAGCTTATGGTGATCTTGTTAAAGAATGCAACAGAAGACGCACGCAGCTTGTAGATGCTGGAAGATATCACCGATTTGTAAGGCAAGTAGATGATTTGTCCGATTGGCTGCATGACAAAGAACACCTGGCTTCATCGGAAGACTATGGCCGCGACCTTGAAGATTGTGTCCAGCTTACCGAGAAGTTTGAAACAGTTGTTCGTGAACTAGCAGCGGCAGGAGAAAGAGTCGCAGCAGTGCAAAGAGCTCAAGAAGAGTTGCTTAGAAGTGGCCACCCCTATGCGGCATCAATTCGTGCCAAAGGAACTGATTTGAATAGTCTGTGGACCTCAGTCAATGAGGCTGCAACGGAGAGACAGCAAGCTTTGGCTGGAGCGCGTCAAGTGCACAGATTCGACCAAGAAGCCGATGAAACACTGAACTGGCTTGGGGACAAAGAAGCAACTGGAGTAGCTATGGAAAATGAAGATCTTGCGCATGCGGATTTGGCCACGATTAAAGTTCAAATGCAGCGTCATGATGAGTTTGTGCATGGAATGAGAGCTGTTGAAAAGCAGGTCGCCGAACTATGCAGGGAAGCTGAGCGCTTGTGGACAGCATTCCCGAACACTCGCGAACATCTTGAAGTTCGTAAAATGGACATGGAAGAACAGCTGAAGGACATCTTGGAAGGAACGAGAAGACACCAAGAAAGGCTGCAGCATATGGAAAGTCTCCAAGCATACTTCCAAGAATATCGTGAACTGATGCAATGGATGAAAGCTATGCAAGCAATGATGACTTCGGAACAACTGCCCAGAGATGTTGCTGGATGTGAAGCGCTAGCTCGACGTCACGATGAGTATAATCTGGAGATGCAAGGCCGCAAACCTCACATTGATGAGTTTAATCGTCAGGGTAAACAGATGATCCAAACAGGACATGTACTTTCTCAGGAAATTGGCGAAAAGGTATAGCAAAGCAAAGAATTCATTACTGATATTTTTCTTAATCAACTATCTTGTTTGAAGGTGGAAACCCTTGAGAGGTCTTGGGGAGTATTATGTGAAGTGTGGAAAGATCGTAATGAGCTCTACAACGAGAATATGGATTGCCAAAGATGGAAACAGAATGCTGCGCAGCTCGAGCAATGGCTACTGGAAAGAGAGCGACTACTCGGTTGGTAAATCATTGGCACTTTCTAACCATTTTGACTTTACAACTAATTGATTCTTCTCCTATCATAGATTTTCCAAAAAGTAATTTCCTGTCTTTTGCCTGGAACTAAAAAAAGTACCTTGTCTTATGTACACTTTTCTGCTCACAATCTGCTGAAAATTTCCCAACAAAAGAAGGTGTGCGAAATCACGCTTTCCACCATAACATAATCTGCATAATGTAGTCTTAGTCTCACTGTTAGGTGCTAGATGTTTCTTCATTGGAGAATATCTGGCAAGAATTGCTGAGTCAGATTCCTCACTGTTGAAGTATTGATTTTTTCTGTGGGATCATTTTTTCAATAGTCTTATACTCTCTAGAACACTTATTTTCACACTGGCAGCTAAGAAATAACGGAATTCAATTCTGCGTGTCTAGTCTGAAGTGTGAGGGAGAAACATTTTGTTTTAAAATTCTGATACGTGTCAGGTTTTAATTTTCCAGGAGACGACTGGCGACATATCGACACTGTCGAAAATGCAGAAACCCAACTTCGTGATTTTGATGATTTCCTCATCACATTAGATGCTCAAGTCGATCGATGTGATATGGTGAAACGATTGACACTGATCGAACAAAGCTTCAGTCGTCTCAGGAAGAAGGAAGTAGGAGCATTTGTGAATTCTTTTTTTCTCTCTCTTTTAAATTTTTTGTCTAAGGTTGAACGATCTCGCATTGCCGAAGAAGATCAGAAACGACGTGATACAATCAAAGTGGTTGAGAAAGGGCAAATTCTTGCGAATAGGCGACAGGAGAGAGAAAGAAGAAAGACGCAAGAGATTTCCCTTTTGCGCCCAAGCCCAAGCGAAGACTACACTAGCCAGACCTTGCCTAAGAAGATAGATCGTGCAGAACGCAGTAAGACGGCTACACTCGGTAAGTTATCTGGACCTTTACCAACCTTATTTCTGAGAGGAGAGCGGAATTACAGGTGAGAGTGTACTCGTTGGAGGACCGTCAACCATAGTGGCTCCGAATGTCAATGCTCCCGCTAACGTGTCCGCTGTGGAAGTTGAGATGAAGAAGACACCATCATTTACCACTAGAAGGGGTCATTCTGTATCCAGGAATAGCACCAGCCGTTGGGAGGATATGGGAGCCATCGATATGAGAGGGTAGGTAGCTTCGATTGGCTTTCTGGTGGGCAAACACATCAAGTGCACTATTTTTGTTAATCAGTTTTCTTTTGAAGATCTTTATTGTTCTGTCTTCAGATTCGTAGATCGAAAACAAGACTTACAAAGTGGTGGAAAGAAAGCGACAATTAGATCATGGAAGAATTACTATACTATCCTGTGCGGTCAATTGATGTGTTTCTTCAAGGTTTGTGTACGAAAACAATGAAATGGATGGCCTAAATTTTCTAAAAATCAGCGCAAAGGGTTTCTCGTTCAGGATGAAGCCGCATTCTATGATAATCTGGCCGCAGCACCACCTGTCTACATCTATGGAGCCAGATGTGAGCCATTCCCAGAGTATGTGAAGAGGAAGCATGCTTACAGGTAAGCTGTTTTGCACTTAGAATCTTCCCATTATGTATACCTAATAGAATTGTGTTTTTAGGCTGGCCACCCAAGATGGTGCCGAATATGTATTTGCATGCACTGATGAGCGGCAAATGCTTGAATGGGTTGCGAAAATCAAGTTCCATGCTGATCTTACACCAAGTAACCAGCTGAAATCATACAATTACCATGGTAATCAATGA